TGCTCAGTGTGTCGTGCCACTCACGGGGCGCCTGGCGGAGACCGTAGACTGGCCGTCGGAGGCTCCACTGGGTACCTGGAGAAAACGATCCAGTGAAGCCAGGAGGGTGGCGCAGCCAGATCTCCTTGTGCAGGCTGCCTTGTAGGAAAGCAGTGCTGAAGTCAAGAGAGTGAAGCTCGTAGTCACGCTGAGCGGCTATGTGCAGCAGCACCCGAAGAGTGGTCATCTTCGGGGTGGGAGAGAAGGTCTGAAAGTAGTCAGCTCCCTGCCGCTGACTAAAGCCTCGAGCCACGTAACGCGCCTTGAAGACAGGCGGAGAACCCAGCGGCCGCTTCACCCTGAAAATCCACATGCCACTGACGATGTTCGCCCCAGGTGGAGGAACCTCGTTGACGTAGGTGCCTGTGGACTTCCAAGAAGCCATCTCTGCGTCCATGGCTGACTCCCACTGTGAGGAGTAGGGACCCTCTATCGCCTCTGCGTAAGAGCAAGGAATCGGGATGTCTGGTGCATCCGGGTCTCCCTCAGGGACAATCAGCACGGACACAAGATGAGGTAAAGCAGCAGCAAAACACTGGAACGCCTCCTGCCTGTCCTCAAGGACGTCCGTGCTAAGAGCACACTCACCCCCGACCGACGGATGACAGACAGACTCAGACTCAGCAACAAGACTAGCAGCATAGTCTAGACGACAGTGAGCAGCAAAGTCGACAAGCTCAGCAACTAAGGCAGACGCAGAAGTGGACTCAAAGGACGGGTCAGTGACAGCAGTAGCCAGGAGACGCGTGAGAGTAGGACTGGCAGCACGAAGGGAGTCAGACTCCGGGTCAGCAAGAGCAGGAAGAGAGAACTCTAGAGGAGATGGCAAAGGGACACGCAGTGGAGCAGTGGAAGGACGTGTGAAGAAATGAGGAATAAATGAACTAGCAAGAAGGTGGGTACAAGTAGGAAAGCCAAAAAGTGTTGTACTCCATATTGTGTACCCCACTACAGCCTACACAGACTATAGCATATATGCATGACACACCCCCATAGGCAAAGTGGGGGAGAACAAGAGGTCACCAGACCAGTCAAGCAAAGCAAAGCAAGCTCACGGTGGATCACAACGTCACTACACAGTCCGAGCACAAGTGCAAGGCCACAAGGCCAGTTCACATGCAAGATCATATATAAAGGTAAACAAGCAAGTGCAGGTATAGAAAGATCACAGTACAAGCAAGGTCAAGAAGTGAGCAAGTCAGGCCAAGTAGCCACAAGACCTATCATCGTACAGAGGCGCTGATGATCACCAGGCGGAAGTGCCTTGGTAAAGATATCAGCAGTGTTGGCCTCAGAGGCCACGTAAGCAAGGCGCAGCTGACCACGCTGCTGCAGCTCACGAGCAAGGAAGTAGCGGAGAGCAATGTGCTTCGTTCTGTGCTCCAGTCTGTGCTCCCGACACAAGGCCAGCATGGCCTTGTTGTCTACGTACAGAACTGGAGGAGAACGAGGCGGCTCTCCTAGGTCAATCAGCAGGTAGGTGAGACAGCGTAGCTCCTGTGCAGCCGTGGCCCCTGCGTAGATCTCAGCCTCACAGCTGGAGCTGAGAACAGAAGACGAGCGGGTAGACCGCCACGAAACAGAGCCGGAACAAAGGCTGAAGGTGTAACCCTATGACGATCGCTGCGTAGCCTGGTCATCAGCCCAAGAAGCGTCTGCGTGACCTGTGAGGACCACTCGACGTCGCCCTCCAAGCACTAGCCCCATGCCCGACGTAATGCACAAGTAGCGCAACACCCTCTTCGCTGCAGCCATGTGCTCTGGTCGGTGTCTCCCAAGAGCAACATAGCGTGCCAAGATGCTAAGAGGGTATGCTAGGTCAGGTCGAGTGCAGGTCATCAGGTACATGAGGCAGCCAACAAGCTCTGGGTACGGGCCACTCGGCTCTGCGGACTCATCCGAAGGCAGAGCTCAGAGCGAGTGGCGAGTAGACAGAGGAGTGGCCTGAGGCGAGGAGTACGTGAAGTCAAAGCGCTGAAGGACCTGCTGTACCATGTGTGACTGAGTTAGGGTAATGGTGCGCTGTGCTCTGTCTCGGGTGATCTGCAAGCCAAGGTAGCTGCGCAGTTCACCCAGGTCTGTGCACGTGTGTCTCTTCTGCAGCTCGGACTTCACGTGGGCGAGTCCAGCAGTGTCAGCAGTAGCAAAGTCCAAGTCGACGACGTACACGAGGATGTAGAACAGCGGCAAAGAGGTGATGGTGCGCAGAAACAGCGACGGGTCGGCAGTAGAAGGAGCAAACCCAAGAGCCGCAACTGTAGTCCTCAGTGTGTCGTGCCACTCACGGGGTGCCTGGCGGAGACCGTAGACTGGCCACCGGAGGCTCCACTGGGTACCAAGAGGAAACGACCCAGTGAAGCCAGGTGGGCGGCGCAGCCAGATCTCTTCGTGAAGGCTGCCCTGCATGAAAGCTGTGCTGAAGTCAAGAGAGTGAAGCTCGTAGTCGCGCTGAGCGGCTATGTGCAGCAGCACCCGAAGAGTGGTCATCTTCGGGGTGGGAGAGAAGGTCTGAAAGTAGTCAACTCCCTGCCGCTGACTGAAGCCTCGAGCCACGTAACGTGCCTTGACGACAGGCGGAGAACACGGCGGCCGCTTCACCCTGAAAATCCACATGCCACTGACGATGTTCGCCCCAGGTGGGGGAACCTCGTCGAAGTAGGTGCCTGTGGACTTCCAGGAAGCCATCTCTGCGTCCATGGATGACTGCCACTGTGAGGAGTAGGGACCCTCGATCGCCTCAGCGTACGATCGAGGAGTCGGGATGTCTAGTGCATCCGGGTCTCCCTCAGGGGCAATCAGCGTGGACACGAGATGAGGCAAAGCAGCAGCAAAACACTGGAACTCCTCCTATCTGTCCTCAAGGACGTCCATGCTAAGAGCACACTCACCCCCGACGGACGGAGGACAGATAGACTTAGACTCAGCAACAAGACTAGCAGAGAAGTCTAGACGACAGCGAGCAGCAAAGTCGACAAGCTCACCAACTAAGGGAGACGCAGCAATGGACTCAAAGGAAGGGTCAGTAACAGTAGTAGCCAGGAGACGCGTGACAGTAGGACTGGCAGCACGAAGAGAGTCAGACTTTTGGTCAGCAAGGACATGAAGAGAGGACTCTGGAGGAGACGGCAACGGGACACGCAGAGGAGCAGTGGACAGATGCAGTGGCATCTGGTGTGTGCCTGGGACCGCAGGAGGACGCGGACGCGGAGCATGACTACTTGTGCGAGCAGCACGAACAGGCGATGCAGGACGAGACGCAGGCTCACGACGCTCAGCAAGACCTCCAGTAGGACCAGCTTAGGGAGAAGGAGCAGGCAGGGGGGAGGCGGGCTGTAACTGTGACCGCGACTGGAAAGGCTCTGGACACTCTAAAGGAGGAGCAGGACTAGTAGAGGGCGGAAGACCAAGAACCTGCTCAAGGAGCGGAACGAAGTACGGCCGCGGCCGCGCAGCATTTCCAAAACCAGCAGGGATAGCACCAGTACCCCCAGCGGCAGCACCAGCGTTAGCAGCACCTCCAGTGCCAACAGCGCCAACTCCAGCACCCTCAGACGCACCAGCGCCAGCAGCACCTGCAGCGCCAACACCCCCAGCAGCTCCAGCTCCAGCAGCACCAGCAGCTCCAGCTCCAGCAGGATCGTCAGCTCCAGTACCGCCAGCAGCTCCAGCAGTACCTCCAGCAGGACCAACTCCAGCAGCCCCAGCAGCATCCCCTGTCTCAGCAGCTCCAGTCCCGCCAGTACGAGCACCTCGAGGACCAGCAGCAACAGTAGCACCTCCAGCTCCTGCAGCACGGCTCCAGCGCTCAGTCACCAGTCCAGCACTGGACCTGTAACCAGTCTCAAACCTCCAGGCAATAGCCTCAGCCAACCAGTCAGGTGCAGGTGCCAGGCCTGCGATCCTCACGACCGTGCCCTAGAGCGTGGAACAGGCGTCGTCATCGAATCAGGACCAGTGCACGGTCGAGGGCCTGAACGTGTAGCCCCTGGAACTAAGCAGGACCAGGACAATGTCGCAGCGCGTAGTCCCAGGCGGTGGCATCGCCGGGCAAACCACTCGCGCAGCTCCTGCGGAGAGAGTAGCTCCCGCCTAGACTAAGCACCGCCAAAGGCCACACGAGTAGACCCAGCACCCCCAGGCTCTGCACCCCCAGGCTCAGCACCCCCAGGCTCCGCACCCCCAGACTCACCACCCCCAGGCTCAGCACCCCTAGACTGAGCACCCCCAGGCTCCGCACCCCCAGGCTCAGCACCCCCAGCACAACCAGAGTCAACAGCTACCTCGACAAGCTCGACTGCGTCTACCTGGGACACACCTGACGGGGCAGGACCCTGAAGGGGGAGAGGGTCTACCGTGGGAGGACCTGGCGCAAGGAAGAGCGGCGGCGGGGGGAGGGGCGCAGTGCGGTAGGGGAAGAGACGGTAGTAAGGCACCGACTCGTCAAAGGTGACGTACTGGGAGGACAGAACACGGCACGAGGTGGGGTGGTAAAACTGCCAACCAGGCGCGTCAGGGGGGAAGCCAAGGAAGACGCAGGGAACAGCACGGGGGGACAGCTTGTCCGCAGACAAGTCGCTGAAAAACGCCCGAGATCCCCAGACCCGAAACGTACAGTGGGTCACCCGCTGACTCGCAGGAGTGAACTGGTCAACCCCCCCATCCTGTAGATCAGCACCACTCACCAAGTTCGTAGAGAACGAGGGGAGGTAGAGACTTGACAGGGTGCCAGAGGGGGTTGCCGGACATGGTAAGACAGTGGAGAAGCGAGCAAGGACAGGACCCCCAGAGGGGTCCGCCAGGGAGACCGCAACCGAACGACTAAGCGGCGTAAGCGTGGTGCAATCTCGAAAGAAGGAGCGGGAAGCACCCGAGTCAAGGGTGAAGGTGTGTAAGGCCTAAGCCGACATGGTACCTGAGAGAGGAGACTCACCAGCACCTGGGGCAGCAGACGCACTGGCACCTCAAGCAGCAGCCTCACCAGCAACAGGGGCAGCAGACGCACTAGCACCTAGAGCAACAGCCTCACCAGCACCTAGAGCAGCAGCCTCAATGCCCTGGTCAGGCGGAACACACAGGTAACAGTCACCCTCATCACTAGTAGACACAGCATACATGGCAGCAAGAATAGCATCATAGTCAAGATCAAAGATAGTAACCCCCGCCCTAGACAGCTCTCCCCAGCGAGGGATCTCAGCGGCGTAAGGGAACTGGTGACGCCAAGCGTCCGTTAGGCGGCCGAAGCAGCGCTGGGTGGAGTGCGAGCCCCCGCACTGCTCACCAGCGCGGTCGCTGGTACGGAGGACGTAGGTACAGGGACCAGTACCCCCACCTCGCTGACGCCCAGCGTACCACTCACGAAGCTGCTGGGGGGACGGGGTCTCACGAGTGCGCTGCTGCTGCTAGCGCTGACCACCGCATAAGCCGCCTCGCTGCCCAGAGCCACCCCGACTAGCTCCACCTCCTCCGCCGCCACCGCCGCTACCGCCGCCACCGCCTCCTCCTCCGCTCCCACCGCCACCGCCACCGCCGCCGCCGCCTCCGCCGCCACCTCCGCCACCGAAGCCCCCACCCCCGCCACCACCCTCACCACCACCCCCACTCCCTCCGCCTCCTCCACCTCCACCTCCACCGCCTCCGCCAGCCCCTCCAGCGCCCTTGCCCCCCTTGCCCTTGCCGGTGCGGCGTCGCCCGCTAGGGGCAGACGCAGCGCCGACCGACTCGGTGCCAATGAAGTTGACGGCAGCAGCAGAGGCAACAGAGGGCAAAAGGGGGGAGGGGGAGCACCCCTCAAAGACAGGGGCACGCGGGTCACCTCTAGAGGCTCCTACAGCGACTATACTCTTCTCAACTGCCAGGAGGCGCTCCTCAAGGAGGTCAATGGTGAGTGTGGTGGGGCAAACTGAAAGGAAGTGGTCCCTGACCTAGCGAAGGGAGTCAAGGAGCCGGATGACTATGTAGTAAAGGGTGATGTACATTGGGGGGGGGGGGTTCTTGGCGCAGAACTCAGCAGGAAGCGCAGCGCGGTAGCGGGTGTCACTAGTGCGAAGGTGCGTAACAAGGTCAGCGATAGTGGGAAAGGCGGCGAGGTCAGGAAACAGGTACGGCAGTATGAGGCGACTAAGAGCACTAGTGGCAGGGGAAGAGTAGTGTGCAACTACAGCGTCGTACAAGGTCTTAGCACTCTTGTACTCACTAAAGTGCGCACGCTCAGCGGTCGGTAAGTGGCGACGCACAGCAAGACGGGCAGCAACATCGCGTGTGGCCCACTGTGAGCGAACAGTGCTGTCAAGATGAGCAGGCGGGGCAGGAGAGGCACCAGAGGTGAGATCGAACAGGGAGAGTCCGTCTGTCCTATCGCACTGTAGGAAGAGCTGGAGGTCATCGACCCAGACCTCAAAGTCAACAGCACGATCCTCAGCATCAAAGATAAGGACATTGGGGGTAGCCATGACAGCAGTGGTCTAGCAAGGAGTGCTCTCACCAGTCCGGGTGGGTAGGGCCGGTGCACGCCGGTAGAAACAGTAGCGGCTCAACGGCAGCTCGGCGGCAGCGGCTCGGTAGTGGCGGCTCGACGGCGGCCTCGGCGGCTCGGCGGCTCGGCTGCTGGGCGGCTCGGCTGCTGGGCGGCTCAGCTGCTAGGCGGCTCGGATGCTAGGCGGCTCGGCTGCTGGGCGGCTCGGCGGCTTGGCTGCTTGACAGCTGAAGGGGCCGTGAAGGGCGGCGACGGGGCCGCTAGATGCGACAACGGGGCCGCGAAGGGCGGCGACAGGGCCGCGAAGAGCGGCGACGGGGCCGCGAAGGGCGGCGACGGGGCCGCGAAGGGCGGCGACGGGGCCGCGAAGGGCGGCAACGGGGCCGCTAGGGGCGGCGACTAGGCCGCTAGGGGCGGCGACGGGGCCGCTAGGGGCGGCGACTAGGCCGCTAGGGGCGGCGACGGGGCCGCAAAGGGGCCGCGAGGGGCCTCGAAGGGTGGCGACGGGGCCGCAAGGGGCGGCGACGGGGCCGCGAAGGGGCCGCGAGGGGCCTAGAGGGGCGGCGAGGGGGTCTCGAAGGGGCCGCGAGGGGCCTAGAGGGGCGACGACGGGGCCGCAAAGGACGGCGGCGGGGTCGTAAGGGGTGGCGACGGGGCCACTAAGGGTGGCGCGAGGGGCCGTGAGAGGTGACGTGAGGGCAGCCAACGGGGCGCGCCTCAGGCAGGGGCGACTCGCGCTCCGGTCAGGAAAAAGAAGTCGATTTCGGTGATGGGCCCTGAGAAGCGTTCCCACTAGGGAACCTGCTCTATACCATGTGAAGAAATGAGGAATGAATGAACTAGCAAGCAGGTGGGTATAAGTAGGAAAGCCTAAAAGTGTTGTACCCCATATTGTCTACCCCACTACAGCCTAAACAGACTATAGCATATAAGTTTGACAGGACGCAATGCCATCTGGGGTGTGCCTGAGACCGCAGGAGGACGCGGACGCAAAACACGACGACTAGTGCGAGCAGTACAAACACGCAACGCAGGACGAGACGCAGGCTCACGACGCTCAGCGAGACCTCCAGTAGGACCACTGTAGGGAGAAGTAGCAGGCAGTGGGGAGGCGGGAAGTAACTGAGACTCAGACTGGACAGGCGGCAGACACTCTAAGGAAGGAGCAAGACCAGCAGAAGGCGGGAGACGAAGAACCTGCTCAAGGAGCGGAATGAAGTATGGCCACGGCCGCGCAGCGCCTCCAGAGCCAGCAGGGACAGCACCAGCACCCCCAGTGGCAGCACCAGCACCAGTAGTACCCCCAGCTGCAGCACCGCCAACTCCAGCACCCTCAGAAGCACCAGCGCCAGCAGCACCTCCAGCGCCAACATCCCCAGCAGCTCCAGCTCCAGCCAGACCACCGGAAGACTCAACAGCCCCAGCTCCAGCACCTCCAGCAGCACCTGCTCCAGAAGCACCGCCAGCTCCAGCTCCGCCAGCAGCTCCAGCACAAGGAGCACCCCCAGGTACAGCAGCTCCAATACCTCCAGTACGAGCACCTTCGGGACCCGTGGCACCAGCACCCTCAGCAGCAGTAGAACCTCCACCACCAGCAGCTCCTCCAGCTCCAACAGCACGGCTCCAGCGCCGAGCAAACCACTCGCGCAGCTCCTGTGGAGAGGGTAGCTCCCGCCGGGACGAAGCACCCGAAGGACCTCCAGACCTAGTACCGCCAGACTCCACACGAGCAGGCCCAGCACCCTCAGGCTCCGCACCCCCAATCTCAGCACCCCCAAGCTCAGCACCCCCAGACTCAACAGCCCCAGGCTCAGCACCCCTAGGCTCAGCACTTCCAGACTCAGCACCCCCAGGCCCCGCACCCGCAGGCTCAGCACCCCTAGTAGCACCAGAGTCAACAGCTACCTCGACAGGCTCGACTGCGTCTACCTGGGACACACCTGAGGGGGCAGGACCCTGAGGGGGAAGGGGGTCTACCAGGGGGGGACCTCACGCGAGGAAGAGCGGCGGCGGGGGGAGGCGCGCAATGCGGTAGGGGAAGAGACGGTAGTAAGGAACCGACTCGTCAAACGTGACTTCCTGGGAGGACAGAACACGGCGCAAGGTGGGGTGGTAAAACTGCCAACCACGTGCGTCAAGGGGGAAGCCAAGGAAGACGCAGAAAACAGCACGGTGGGACAACTTGTCCGCAGACAAGTCGCGGACAGAAGCCCGAGATCCCTAGACACGAAACGCAGACGCATCGCCAACCTTCCCCGTCCACCGCAAAGTAGGGGATGTCTCCGGCAAGGAGACCCGGGGCTGAAGGTTGATCAGATGCACCGCGTACTGAACCGCGAACGGCCAAAGAAAATGGGGAGCAGCCGCATGGATCATGGACGTACGAGCGACGTCCATGACCATGCCAATGCGGCGCTCAGCAATCCCATTTTGCTGTGGAGAGGCCGGAAGCGTGAAGGTCTGGCGGATGCCCTATGCACGACAGAAGGCTCGCAGAAGGTAAGAGGAAAGCTCTCCGTGTCTGTCAGAGTGCAGACGCAGAACAAGAAAGTCCGAGCCAAAACTCTCTCTGAGCTGGAGACGAGCTACGCGGATCCAGTTGATCAACACCTCAGTGACTTCACCCTTGCTGCGCAAAGGGAAGACCGTGGTGTAACGCGAGTAGTCATCAACCACCAACAGGAAGTAACGCTCGTGACCCTGGCCACGGACGCAGGCGGGGCCCCACACGTCCAGGTGAAGTGTTTGCTGCGGAGCCTCTGTCGGAGGAAACTCGGACGAGTGAGGAGCGCAGGTAGGGAAGCCCTGGAGGGAACGCAGGTAGGGGCAAGCCCTGGAGGGAGGGGAGGGAGGGACCGGGGGAGACCAGAGACAAGGTAACGAAAGGCCATGCCTCGGGGACGAGGTAGGGAGGGGTGACCAAGGCGGTGGTGCCAGACGAGGGTCTAGTGGGACAGGAGACGACACGAGCAGGGGGCAGACTCAGGAGCAGACCTGGACGCTGCAGCAAACACCTGACCCGACGCAACTACCTGACCAGACACAGTAACCAGAGGAGACTCAGTAGTTAGTGTGTACAGGCTCGACTCCGGCTGACGGGTAAACGTGGCCAAGTATCGGCCCGTCCGAGCACACGTACAGTGGGTCACCCGCTTACTCGCAGGAGTGAACTGGTCAACCCCCCCATCCTGTAGATCAGCACCACTCACCAAGTTCGTAGAGAACGAGGGGAGGTAGAGACCTGACAGGGTGCCAAAAGGGGCCGCCGGGCACGGTAAGACAGTGGAGAAGCTAGCAAGGACAGGACCCCCAGAGGGGTCCGCCAGGGAGACCGCAACCGGCCGACTAAGCGGCGTGAGTGTGGTGCGGTCTCGAAAGAAGGAGCGGGAAGCACCCGAGTCAAGGGTGAAGGTGTGTAGGGCCTGAGCAGACGTGGTATCTGAGAGAGCAGACTCACCAGCACCTGGGGTAGCAGACGCACTAGCACCTAGAGCAGCACCCTCACCAGCACCTAAAGCAGCAGCCTCACCAGCACCTAGAGCAGCAGCCTCAATGCCCGGGTCAGGCAGAACACACAGATAACAGTCACCCTCATCACTAGTAGACACAACATACATTGCAGCAAGAATAGCATCATAATCAAGATCAAAGATAGCAACCCCCGACCTAGACAGCTCGCCCCAGAGGGGGATCTCAGTGGCGTCAGGGAACTGGAGACGCCAAGCGTCCGTCAGGCGGCCGAAGCAGCGCTGGGTGGTGTGCGGGCCACCGCACGGCTCACCAGTGGTGTTGCCGGTACGCAGGACGTAGGCACAGGGACCAGCACCTCCACCCCGCTGACGCGCAACGTACCACTCACGAAGCTGCTGGGGGGGCGGGGTCTCACGAGTGCACTGCTGCTGCTGGCGCTGACCACCACCGAAGCCGCCCCGCTGTGCAGAGCCACCCCGACCAGCTCCACCGCCGCCGCCGCCACCTCCGCCACCGCCGCCACCGCCTCCTCCTCCGCCTCCTCCGCTCCCACCGCCACCGCCACCGCCGCCGCCACCGAAGCCCCCACCCCCGCCACCACTCCCACCGCCACCCCCTCCGCCTCCGCCGCCTCCACCGCCACCTCCACCGCCCCCGCCAGCTCCTCCGGCGCCCTTGCCCTTGCCGGTGCGGCGTCTCCCGCTAGGGGCAGACGCAACGCCGACCGATTCGGTGCCAACGAAGTCGATGGCAGCAGCAGAGGCAACAGAGGGCAAAAGGGGGGAGGGGGAGCACCCCTCAAAGAAGGGGGAGCGAGGGTCTGTGAGAATAAGCGAACAGGAATGAATGAACTAGCAGTGAAATGAGTACAAGTAGGAAACCCTAGAATTGTGTACCCCCTATAGGCTAACCCACTGTAGCCTACACAAGCATAACATATATAATGTTTGACACACCCCCATAGGCAAAGTGGGGGAGAACAAGGGGTCACAAGACCAGTCAAGTAAAGCAAAGCAAGCTCAGGGTGGATCACAAAGTCACCACACAGTCCGAGCACAAGAGCAGGGCCAGAGGCCAGTTCACATGCAGGAGTACAGACATATATATAAAAATAGACAAGCAAGAGCAGGTATATATATATGTCACAGTACAAGTGAAGTCAAGAGGAGAGCAAGTGAGGCAAGACAGGCACAAGACCCAGCTGGGTGCAAAAGCGCTGATGGTCACAAGGCGCGAGTGCCTTGGTGAACACATCAGCAGTGTTGGCCTCAGAGGCCACGTACGCAAGTCGCAACTGACCACGCTGCTGCAGCTCACGAGCAAGGAAGTAGCGGAGAGCAATGTGCTTCGTTCTGTGCTCCAAGCGCTGCTCTCGACACAAGGCCAGCATGGCCTTGTTGTCTACGTACAGCACTGGAGGAGAACGAGGCGGCTCTCCAAGGTCAGTCAGCAGGTAGGTGAGCCAGCGAAGCTCCTGTGCAGCCATGGCCCCGGCGTAGATCTCAG